ATAACAGAACTTTAAGTTATAGACTATGTACACTGAAAGTTGTTACGAAATGTGGCTGTTAAAAAGTAACTATTTATGTTGCCCATAACTTGCAAGTGGCTAACTGTTAATTGAACATGGTTATAATTTCGGTATGGTTTTGCCAAAATGGGCATGGTAATTTTTCGTAACTCAATGTTCGTAACTTGAACAATTCGGCCTCTCTGACAAAAGACCAGGTGGGCTGTTCAGAAATAAACTTGTGGCTAGAACAATGCCTGGCATGGCCAGAAGTGTTTTTTTAAAACCTCCAGCTGATTTGTGGATTTTGTTTATAAAATTACAACTTATTTTTTCCTTTACATATTTTTTAAATCTGACAAACTTGGATTAATTTGCTAGATACCACAAGGTGGCGAACTTGGCCGGGTGTCCTGGGTCACCTACCAACTTTTTTTGGTTGTATGAACAGTCTAAAAAGACGTCGTGTAATTCTAATTCCTTCTACCTCTGTTGGTGTCATGTGAAACTGAATTCTATGAACTCTACTTGACTGTTCCAGTTTGCGACAATTAATTTGAGTTGGGTATTGTTTCTGATTTGTGTTTGCTCGTCCTTGTTTTGCTTTTTCAAGACGGCTACCACAGCTTCTGTTAGTGGGAATTCTGTCTTGGAAGTCCCTGATATGAAGGATGTTTTAGGACGATACTTCTACATCAGCTGTCTTCACTTTCAGGTTAGTTCTTCCGCCAATTTCTTGCAACCAACAACGTGATTTTTTATTTGGGATTTCGAGAAACATAACATGAATCGCTAACGGCATTCATAACACAACACCTCGCCATGTTTCAACTTTTAAGTAGTCAGTTAACAAGGTCTTTCATAGTAGCATTTCTATGGGATTGACGTACTAGCATGAATGGGTTCAATTATCAGTGTTCACTGATGACGTCATTTGACTGGCCCTCTAGAGGCGAAATGACGCCAGGAAAAGCGGAAGTTTGTCGTCTGCTTCACAGCCCGTTTTAAACCCGATTTTTAGGGCATTTCGCAGCACATATAAGTTATTTTTATCGACAGAATTCATTCAAAGATCTCAGATTTCATGTACAGAGTGTCAAAAGCCACACCTCTGCTCCCCTTTAAAGAAAACTGACAGTTTATGTTATAGTTGCAGTGTTTATTACCGGGTACAATGGAAGCAAAGCACAAAACAATCAGTACTACAATAAATAATATAAATATATATATAATTGAGGAAAATATTGCACAATGTAAGATCATCAAAGAATACTACTAGAGTAGAAAATCAATTAGGAAAAATAGTCTTGCGTGCATTGCAGGAAAACTTTTGATTTCCTTTTGATTGCATGCAAGAGTCACATGACTAGCTTGCTCCATTATCAGTAGTGTCAACTGGTTGGCGCCGTGGTTAGCATATTCAAGGTCATAGGTTCAAATCCTCCAAAACACATTTTTTTTTACTAAATGGCTACAACACTTGAATTACATTTCAAAAGACTAAGGTCTATTTTCTAGACACAAGTAGCTTTATTGGGAATTCACAGCAAATGGCTATTCCTGTCACAGAATATTGGGCAATAACTGTCACCGTAAATGTAAATTTTCAGACCTAAAACAATTTTTTTAGCCTTGCATCTGCTCTGCTTGGTTTTGGAAACAGTCTTAAAATTCACAAGAACTTACGTGACTGCCCTAGTGTCCTTCAATTTTCACTACACAGTTTTAATTGGACCAAGGCATTTTCAAAATGTTTTGCTTCAAAAACGAGTGCTCCAACAGTTCCAAACTTCAAGACCTGGAATATGTATGCTAAACCACTGTCGCTTGGAGTGCCAGGACTGGGCATGCTCAGTGTAATTAAAATTTGCTCCTACTCTCAGCGCAACAAAGGCATTCCGTTCATCTTTATAAATATTTATGAATTTCAATGGCAGTTAAATCAAACCAGCCAATCAACTTCATTAACATAACAATGTTACTTAATCAACCAATAAAAACTTCTAATTCCAATTTGTTGTGCTGAATTAACAAATGCTATTGTTTCTCAACAAAAATCAGAATAATACATTTCAGTAATAATCTCAAAACATTAAATGTAAATTTAGTAAAAGAAATATCTTGTGATAAATTGTCTATAAGTACTCTGTCAATAAATGTATATTTAAAAAGTTGTTTTGTGGACAAAATGGCAGTTTGAGATCCATTTAGGAATAAATAGGTACAGTGCAGCTAAAAGAAATAAACATTCTTCATTCAGTAATTAAAATACAAAAAAGCACCAAAATACAATTACACCATGAAAGATATTTTAAATAACAAAACAGTATAAAAATGAATTCATAAAAAAAAAAAAATAATCAATATATATACAAATTAAAGTTGGGCAACAATGCCATCATCCCACTCTGTGTACAATTCTACACATTCCTACCATAGAGGGCACACTATCAATTTGAGGCAAATTGTTGAATGAACATTAATATGGTGATTCTACCATATTTTCAGGGAATGCCAATGATATTCGTATATTTTGGCGCACACTATGGGGTCTTTCTATACATTAATTTACGGAAAATTTTGGCAATCTCACAGAATTACCATGCTCTATTTCGAAGAAAGTGATATTCAAATAAAAAGGATTCACATTTTCATAAAAATTATAAAAAAAACACGCACAGAATGTTTTAAGACATAATATTGCACATTATAAATTCATAAATTATCTGCTAGCAATGAAATTTGAGGTATTGATTTATTAAGTACTAGTATTGGGCACTCTCAAGCCCATGTTACTAGTGCCATGGTTCTAGTGATAAATAAACACATCTCTGTTTTTGCGATAAAGCCTAAACATTTATATTTTGAGGGTCATAATTTTTCCTAACAAAATTTCGGTGCAATATTTTGTACAGTTGTATGTATTTTTCTGTTATTTATTTATTTTGGGCCAAATGAATTATTGTCCACAAGACAAGAGTTTGAGGTATGTAGGTTTAAATTGTGAATCGACTTAAAACAAAAAAAAACACAACTGAACTCATTTCTGACTTTGCTTTGTGATTATTAATATTTTAATGTGATAATAAATGCATGATTCAAGTCATGGTAGGTTTGGATATTTAATTGCATGCCTAGCTTTCTGGAAGGATTTTCATTTTCGGGAAAATCAACATTATGCATATTTCTGCATATTTTATAGATCAGTTTCACCAACCCAAGTTTTCGGAATTGAACATTGATAGGAATAGAGTTCGTTCAATGATTACTCAAACTCAAATAACTAAACTGCTGAATATTTTAGTTACCTTTTGAGTGCCTGAATTTTCCCCGAAACAAATTTTGGGCCAACCTTTTATGCCTGTTTTTATGGATATTTTTTGGATATTTTTGTACCAAATGAACATTATTTCCTATTGGCAACAAGTCTGAATCAAATTTTTTAAATAATATAACAAAAAAATTATGTAAGTTTTAATTTGTGAAAGATGATAAAAGTCGATTCTGGGATTTCAAAGGGTTAAAGTTCAAAGGATTTTGTTTTGCGCCATGGATTATTTTGATTCTAAATGTCAGCTTGTCAAATTTCACTCATTTGTTTTTGTTCGTTTCCTCAGCTGAGTCACTGTAATGCAAGTTTGCAACAACTTCCGGGTCACATGACCATATGGCTGCCTTTGTCAACAGAAACATGCATTTCTATTTAAAACTGCATCTTGTGGTTGTACATGCTATACATGGAAAGATTCACACAAATAAGGTCCCTAAAATTGTTTAACAATGTCATTTTTATAAGTTGACAGCTATTTGCTGAGCTACCTACAGTTATGTGACATTGTGAATGCAAAGGCAATAAAAACTATTTTGTAATTTGCAGTCAGGTGATAAACTGTCCAGTTTTCTGCCAGGGTTCTGTTTGGTTTGAGGGTACTATAGGGTTAGAAATTACATGTATCTAAAAAAGAAAAAAATGTTTTTCCTTTTGCCAAATCCTCATTACAGCAACATTAGCAACAAACGTTTTATGGCATGTGATATCATATTTGTGGATTTTTCAAAAAAACAAAACAATGATTCATAATGTTAATGTTGGTGGTGATGATAAATCATCCAACATCCCTACTTTTGCTTCAAAATGGAATGGTCGACAATACAAAACCAGGTGGGTTAATCTAAGATGATCTGAATGTAGGGATGGCAAGTAATCACTCATTCCATGTAAATGTCTTCAGTTGGGTTTGTGTATTCCAGAAACTCATCATAGAATCTTCGAAATGCTCTTCTGTATTGAGAAAAAGGGAGAAAGTAAAAAAAAAATACTGTACATAATTATAAAAATTATTACAATTCCAAAAATAACAGATAAGACCATTGTTATGTTGCGAACTAAGCAAATCTATTAATAATAGAATGCGGAAATAAGAAAAAGCTCCCTCATTGGCACATAATTGAAATTCCTTTGTTTTATCAACAATTGATAAAATTTATACAATTTCTTCAGAAACTATACAGGAATTTGTATTCAATGAAATAAATCAACTGAATCATTCTTGAGAAAAGATATTCCGGATAGTGCTTTATCAGATATAAACACAACAGACAGCAAAACATTGAAAGGGAACCCCAGTGATTGGATAGGTAAAATCTGTTGTTTACTTACCCTACAGACTCAGCCACTGGTTTTGATGAAGTGCCTTCTTCTGAAATATATACATGACAAGCAAATCTTCTTTCTGAAGGATGTTTGGTAATAAACCCAAAATATCTGCAAAAGTATAATATTATGAAAGAAATATTAGCATAATGATTCACAATTTCTATACTAGTT